CTTGGCCTCCAAAGTGCTTGGTTTACAGGCGTGAGCCACCGCGCCCAGCCGAGACCCTGGCTTTCTGACAGCATCGTGGAGTATAGGGTCCAGCCCTACAGGGTTCTGTGAGCCGCTCCAGCTGGTGTGGAGACGAGACATTGTAGAAATACAATACAGAAGACATAGACATAGAGAAAAGAGAGTTTGGGCCCAGGGGTCCACTGCTATCCAAATCGTGGAGACCAGCAGTGGCCCCGAATGCCGGGACGCTCTCACTTTTATTGAGTTGCAAATCTGGGGACAAGGTAGGTAGGGTGTGGTCTTGTAGCTGAATTATGCTAGAGCTAGCCCCCAGGCAGCCTGCAACAAAGTTAGTAGTCAATGAACAGAGTTATTGTAGTTTTATTTATAATTAGTTAATTACCTTGCCTTGCGGTAGTGCCTTCCTGGATTGAGATTCACCACTCTACAGACCTTGCTGTCTCCCCAGCCCTATCCCATGAGGGGAAAGTCTAACTTCATGATGCAAATATCCCGGAAGTGTGTGCTCTGTCCCAAGCCCTGCTTCTTCCCAGCAAAGGGCTTTACGTCAGCTTTAGAACAGGCCTGGCTGGAGCTTGGATGCAGTCAAGGGGCATCTTCAGCCATCTCAGATGTTGATTCAGCCCCAGAGTGCCTCCAGGTGCCTTCTCTACCCTTCTGGAGCTGCCCTGTGGCCAGGCTAAGCTTCTAGGGCTTCTGAGAAGCATCATCTCCCCAAAGGAACCATATTCCTGCCTGTACTTGATGCTGGAGGTATATCTAGAATGATTCAGAGCACAGAAGCATGGGAGAAGGGAGGCCCCAGAGGGCCACTACAGGGGCTCAGCAACCCCACCTCTTAGCCTTTGTGGTCAAAGTCTTGGAGTTACATTGGGATGACCATAGAAATATTGTCTAAAATAGGATAGAAAAAGGGGGAACTTCCAATAGATATGCTCAGATAAAAGTTATCTATTATATAATGGGACTGTCCTAAGCAAATCCAGACACATGGCCTTCCTAAGTTTGCGGCGTGGTACCTTTGGACCCTCCTGCTGGCCTTCCATCACGCTGGGGATGGGGTCGAACGCCAGGTTAATTTCCACCATTCTCAGCAGCCAAGTGCCCTGGCCTTCTGGTTCTGCTTCTTGGGGACTGGATCTCCAGGCACACAGCCCTGTCTACTGGTCTCTGAGAATGGCCCGAAAGCTGATAAACCAGCTTTCTTCACCCCTGACCCTCCACCCCAGGCAGAAGCCATACCCCTCTTCTCTTTATACCTGCTGCCTTGCTGAGGGCTTAGAGGCAGGTTTCTACAGGGACTAGGGAGTGGTCTTCACTAGTGGTCTAAGCTCCAGATTAAGGGAAGCACGATGACAGAGTTTGAGTTTGGGCATCTTACCATAAAGAGAAGGTGATGGCCCACAAGAAGGGCCTACAAGCTATAAAATCCCGCAATTCTCTGACCCGGCCTGTGATGGTTAATACTGAATGTCAACTTGGTTGGATTGAAGGATGCAATATTGATCCTTGTGTGTCTGTGAGAGTGTGCCAAAGGAGATTAACATTTGAGTCAGTGGGCTGGGGAAGGCAGACTCACCCTTAATTGGGTGGGCACCATCTAATCAGCTGCCTGCGAATATAAAGCAGGCAGAAAAAAGTGAAGAGGCAAGATGGGCCTAGCCTTCCAGCCTCCATCTTTCTCCCATGCTGGATGCTTCCTGCCCTCAAACTCCAAGTTCTTCAGTTTTGGGACTCGTACTGGCTCTCCCTGCTCCTCAGCTTGCAGACAGCCTATTGTGGGACCTTGTGATTGTGTAAGTTAATACTTAATAAACTCCCCTTTATATTATATATATATAATACGTATTATATATAATATATAATCCATATTATATAATATATAATCCATATTATATATATAATATGTAATATA